ATCACTCCTTAAGTGTCTTTTTGATTTGAGAGCGATCCCATGAGCCACATCCACCATTCAAGAGGTTATGGGCCCAGAAATATCTATATTTTTGGAGATTTTCCAGTTTTTGAGCAAAAGTGACAGCTGCAAAGAAATTTTCAAAGATGGACAAGGCCATCAAACCATTGTTAGAAAAAGATACTACCATTCAAGACTGGAAACAAAAGAGGATTTTGAAAATATCTGCAGCGGATTTTGAAAATATTTTGAAAAATAACGAGCAGACTGCGACCACAAGTGAAGATTTATTATCCATGAATAAAATGGAGGCATGGTGATGAAGAAGAAATAATTGAAAAAAGAAAGAATTGAAAAGGGAACATTTGAAAAAAAAAAAAAAAAAAAATTTACGTTGTTGGGAATGAGGAGAGTGCAGAAAAAAATGAAGTAGTTTGTGAGGAAATGTTGATTAGTAATCTCAGATTATACATACTCTTTTGATGTTGAACTCTGACCTATTTGATTTATGTATTATGTTTGAATTACTTTAAATTTGGAATGTTAGTTTTATTTTTGTTCAGACTGAATTTTGTCATATTTGATAGATTCCGTAAAAATCGTTTGTAGAAGTAACATGTCTAGCTGTCTGACATAACTCTTGTATTTTATATAAATTTCATAATCATTACGTTTGGTCTAAAATAAGTTCAAAATGTTTAAGTTGAAATAAACAGTTTTCTTATCACTCCTTAAGTGTCTTTTTGGTTTAAGGGCGATCCCATGAGCCACATCCACCATTCAAGAGGTTATGGGCCCAGAAATATCTATATTTTTGGAGATTTTCCAGTTTTTGAGCAAAAGTGACAGCTGCAAAGAAATTTTCAAAGATGGACAAGGCCATCAAACCATTGTTAGAAAAAGATACTACCATTCAAGACTGGAAACAAAAGAGGATTTTGAAAATATCTGCAGCGGATTTTGAAAATATTTTGAAAAATAACGAGCAGACTGCGACCACAAGTGAAGATTTATTATCCATGAATAAAATGGAGGCATGGTGATGAAGAAGAAATAATTGAAAAAAGAAAGAATTCAAAAGGGAACAATTGAAAAAAAAAAAAAAAAATTTACGTTGTTGGGAATGAGGAGAGTGCAGAAATAAATGAAGTAGTTTGTGAGGAAAAAGTTGAAGATGTGAGGAGTGTGAATTTTGTTCATAATCAGGATGAAGAAGTTGTAGAGAATAAAGGAGATTTTGATGGTTTTTTGGATGCGAGTGGCGATAGACAGGAGGAGGTTGTTGCGGAGGGTGTTGGTCCAGAGAGGGATCCACCGAGAAATAGGTTTTTGTGAAGAGGAGATGGAGGTTGTTGCGGAGGGTGTTGGTCCAGAGAGGGATCCACCGAGAAATAGGTTTTTGTGAAGAGGAGACGGAGGTTGTTGCGGAGGGTGTGAGTCCAGGGAGGGATCCACCGAGAAATAGGTCTTTGTGAAGAAGAGACGGAGGTTGTTGCGGAGGGTGTGAGTCCAGGGAGGGATCCACCGAGAAATAGGTCTTTGTGAAGAGGAGACGGAGGTTGTTGCCGGAGGGTGTGAGTCCAGGGAGGGATGCACCGAGAAATAGGTCTTTATGGACGGGAAGACTGAGGTCGTTGCAGGGTTTGTGTGTTTTATTGTATTTTTCTGGTTTGAGTTATAGTTACGAGTTTTTGTTTTTTTGTTTTTGTTGAGAGATTGTTATTGTTGTTTTATGATTGGGGATTTGTTTGTTGATAATTTCAAAATTTTTTGGGTTTTCTGTACTTGTATGTTATGATGTATATCTGAGATTAAGGGGGTGTGTTGATTGGTAATCTCAGATTATACATACTCTTTTGATATCAACTCTGACCTATTTGATTTATGTATTATGTTTGAATTACTTTAAATTTGGAATGTTAGTTTTATTTGTTCAGACTGAATTTTGTCATATTTGATAGATTCCGTAAAAATCGTTTGTAGAAGTAACATGTCTAGCTGTCTGACATAACTCTTGTATTTTATATAAATTTCATAATCATTACGTTTGTTCTAAAATAAGTTCAAAATGTTTAAGTTGAAATAAACAGTTTTTCTTATCACTCCTTAAGTGTCTTTTTGGTTTGAGAGCGATCCCATGAGCCACATCCACCATTCAAGAGGCCATAGGCTGGGATCCTGGATTAGCCACAAGGGACCTTGCCACCACTGTGAGCATGATGGTAGTGCACTGGGCATGACTCCACGTGTGATTAAGTCTGCAGGGTTATGTTTGGTGTTTACATAATGCCAGTGCTCACTGTTAGTGATGTTGATAATGTCCATTAGCCGATGTGTGACATATGTATCATGTTTGTTTTTGTATGGGGCCTTGATCCAACTTAAAACGATAGATGAATCTGTAAACAGATAGAAAGTTTGTACTTTAATCTTATTGTCAGTTGAATTTTTGAATCTGGAAAATAATTTAGCTAAAAGTTGCGCTCCACACAACTCTAGTCTGGGAATAGACTGTTATTTTTTAATCGGAGCAACTTTGGACTTTGAAGTCACAAGTGTACTTGTTGGCTCCTTGTTAAGGCATATAGCTCTTAGGTACAGGCATGCACCATAGGCTTTATTAGAGGCGTCACTAAAACTTACTAAAATAACCTGTGTAGGTATATCTGAGAAATAATACCTTGGAATTTGAATTGATTTCAAATCCTGTAATTGAGATATAAAATCTTGCCAAATTGTAATTAAATCTTCTGAAATAAATGAATCCCACTCAATATTTTGCCTCCAAATATCCTGCATTAGTATTTTTGCTATGATAATGGTGGGAGTAAGTATACCTATAGGATCAAATATCTGAGCTATCTGAGATAAAACATTTCTTTTAGTACATGGAATGTTTACTTTTAAATCTGGAATACATACATTAAGTGTGTCTTGTGTAGGTAACCATTGAAGACCTAGAGTTTTAACTGATTCAGGTAAAGTAAAATGGTATGTAGTATATTCTTCCTGAATATCAGAATTTTGCTTAGAAAAATTAAACTTTATAACATGCGAGTATATGTCTGTGTGATTAGCTGACCACTTGTGTAGTTGAAAGCCTGCTTTACTTAATAAATCAGAAAGTTCAGCGCATAGCTTTATGCATTGTGCTATTGTCTGAGCTCCACAAAGAAAGTCATCCATATATGAGTTAGACTTCACACAATCTGCAGCTAGAGGGTGTGTCCTTATATTTATCAGCTAAGTCTAACATTGTGCGACATGCAAGATAGGGCGCACTTTTAGTACCATAAGTAACAGTATCTAACTCCAAGCATAGTAGTGACTCAGACTTTGAATTGCGCCATAACACCCTTTGCAGAGTAGTCTGTAGTAGATTTATGCGAATGTTTCGATACATTTTAATGATGTCACATGTGAAAGCGTATCTATACAGTCTGAATCTTAGTATGATGTCATATATATCATTGTAAATGTTGGGACCCTCATAGAGTATATCATTGAGTGATAAACCACTTGAAGTCTTTGAGCTAGCATTGAATACTGAACGAACCTTAGTCGAGACACTCTCAGACCCGATTACAGGTAAATGTGGCATATAATAGGAATGTTGATCTGTAGGAGAAAAATTAGGGACATAGTGTGCGTGTCCAAGTTCTATGAACTCATTTATAAATGCTTTGTATTGTGTAAACAGATCAAGATTTTTACTAAGTCTTGATTCTAATTTTAATAGACAATGATAGGCAGTGTTAAATGAGTTACCTAAGTTGTCCAGCTTGTCTAATTGAATTGGCAAACTCACTGTGTACCTACCAGTGCTGTCACGTGTGGTAGTGGATGTGTATACATTTTCACAATACTTATCATCAGGAGAGAGAGGCTTCTTGGTTGGTAGTGGCTCTTCTTGATTCCAGAATGATTGGAGTATGTCATCTGTGGTTAATGATGATGAATGCATGCTAAAATATGCATTAGTGTAATGTGTATGCTCCTTAAGATTTGGTAGGTATGAACCTGACATTACCCATCCAAATGTGGTTTCAATTAAGAAAGGTAAGTGTGTACCCAGCTTTATGCGGCCTAATAGCAATATAGTGTAGAATAATTCAGCACCGATCAGTATATCAATTCTACTCGGTATGAAAAAAGTAGGGTCAGCAAGAGCACATGCTTGTTTTGTAGGAATATTCCATGTGTTAGTATGAATGTAGTTGTGTGGTAGGGGCAAAGCAATATTATCCTTAACTATAAATGTGAGATCTGCTTTAAAATCATTATAGTGAGATGAAATGCTAGTTTGTATGGTACCTTGTGATTTCTTTACACTATTACCAATCCCGTGAATGGTATAGGCCTCATCCTTTATGTCAATTTGTAATAACGAGGCCAGTCTGTGGGTCACAATGTTGACCTCGCTGCCAGCGTCTAGGAGAGCTCGTGCACTTATCCATCTGCCTGAAGCATCTTGAATCTGGATTATGGCTGTGGAAAGCAGTATTTGTTGCTGATTAGTATTGGACATGAGAACTGTAGAAGTGCTGTTGTGCGATGTATTTTGTAATAGCTGCTGCATTGTAGGAGTAAGCATGGTTTGTGATGAAGCTGTGTTTGCTGGTGGTAGCAATTGAACTTGAAGCTTTTGTGACTGAGCTGTCTTTGCATGTAGTTGCGATTGAGCTTGAAGCGTTTGTGATTGAGCTGTGTTTGCATGTAGTTGCGATTGAGCTTGAAGCGTTTGTGGTAGCAATTGAGTGGTAGGACCATGTAGTTGTCCTTTAGAACAATTTATGTTATTAGAGTTGGCAGATGTACCTGTAGAAAAAATATTATTGGTAGCTAGAGATTGAGACGGCACAATAGTTGTTTTTATCAAGGGTTGAGCTTGTAAACTATAGGATTTAGTTGAAGCATAACTTACAATTTGTTGTTGGTTTAAATGTATACTTGTGTGATGCCTTCCCCGGCAAGTTAGGCATTTATTTATAGAACACTTATGTTGTGCTTTGTAAGGCTGTAAGCAGTTAAAACACAATGATTTACTTCTTATGAGACTTATGCGGTCATTAATAGATAGTTCTAGATAATTAGGACATTTATGCAAATAATGATTACCCTGGCATAGTACACAGTTAATCTGATTGATAACAGCTGATGTAGCATGTGAAATTTTAAAATTAGGCCTATCTATAGTTTTATCATTATTTTACATTTCAAAAGCAGTTCTGCGTGCATTCAAAAACTCAAGCAATTCAAACATAGTGGGAATAGAATTCTCCTTACGGTTAAGTTCCCACGCAGCACGTAGTGAATTGTCCAATTTCTGACATATAAAAAATACCAAAATAGCATCCCAGCTGTCAACGGGCAATTTTATAGCTCTTAATGAATCTAAACTTTGCTGTAAAGTATTTAAAAAGTCTTTTAAGTTATACCTTGTAATATTGCCAAAGTTCACAATTGCTTTCAGATGAAAGTTCACGATTATAGTTAGATTTTCATACCTATGGGATAAGATTTCCAAAGCCTTACAGTAGTTTTCTTCTGTTATATGTAGTGAAGAGACTAGACCAGCAGCTTCACCTACCAGTGAAGACTTTAGGTACTGTAGCTTCGTTATTACTGGTAAGTTGCCCTCGTCGACTGTCGACATGAAGAATGCTTTGAAGGCCGGCCATTGGTGTAGATCACCTCCAAACCTTGGGATCTCCAACTGTGTCAATTTCACACGCGGCTTTTCATTATCTGACGTTCTTATCGAGTCCTTAGTTAAAAGGGCTTCCATTTGTGATGTTGTAGAGAAGTATTTACCTCAAATTCTTACCTATCCTTTTCGTGGGCTTCCCTTTTCTCGGGTAACTCATAATCGAATTCATCGATCGCAGATTGAACTTCATCAAAACTAGTGAATATTTTCTCCAATTCCGTTTGACGCGCTTTGATTTCAGCAAAAGTGTTAGTTTTCTCATCAAAACTCTTAAGGAAGTTCGCTATTCTTGTGAGTTTTCCCTTGATGGTCGCGCGTTTTGATTTGTAAAATTCTTGAGATGCAGCCATTTTGAGCTTCGTGGCGACACGGACACAGAAATGCGTAGGGGTGGAAATGGCTGCACACCATCAACTTTCATCGATAAAACGCACAGGTTAATGTTCAACAACTTGTTCAACAAGTATTGCTAATAATATAACTGAAGGATGAATAGGCTTATTTTTAGTTAATCACACGGATACTTGTATTAATGTAGAAAATTGTAGATAGAATAGTAGCGAAGCGAGCGAAGTAACAAAGTCTATTGTATACGTCACGCTAAAACGAATGATAAAACAGTAAAATCTTCGGATTGGTTGGCGTGTTCGCCTTTTGACGATGATTGGTAGTGGGAGCTGTCCGGTCGTTATAATAGTAGAGTCCTTTTCATGAAAGTCCCGCGGTGATTTTTGGAACTAAATTTGACAGGTCGGCCATGTTGTCGTTCGTCGATGTTATCAAGTTCGTTTGTTGTGGTAGATTTTTGTGAGTTTTAAAACTAGCTTAGTGCATTTTAAAGATTGTTTACAATGCCAAAAGTTGTAAAAAGTTCGGCTCGAGAAATGATATTGAAGGTGAAAGAATTCTGTGAAGCTGAACAAAAGAATCAAGGTGTTTTAATACCACTGAACAATGTTCGGAAGAGAGTCGCCGCCATAACAGGTACTTGCCATATAATAATTTTTTGCTGTATTGATGGGACTTTTATGATATAAATTCGTTTTGCGACAAAATTGAACAAATACATAACGTGATGAAATTAGGTAACCGAAATTAAAACGTATATTACATAGTACATAAGCATTATAAACTTAGTGACTATTATTTTTAATTGTTCATTCTTTAATTGCAGGTGTGTCAGAGAAAACTATAACAAGAATTACAAAAGAAGGTATAACAGCGGCGAGTACTTCGAAAAAAATTGTCACCCCGGGGAAGAGTCGCCCGCATCCGAAAAAGTTCGACTTAGACGGTTTCGATTTGTGCGCTATCCGGCAAAAAATTCACAGTTTTTACGTTGTGCATAAAGAATTACCAACTTTGGCTAAATTACGAGCAGCTCTTAGAGAAGACATCAATTTTCAGGGAAGCATCACAACATTGCACAGGATATTAAATAGGATTGGTTTCAAGTACAAGCGATGTCAATCCAGACGCAAACTACTTATGGAACGTCACGACATTACCGCATGGCGTGCAAGATATTTGGATAAAATACGAATAAATCGCACTGTGGAAAAACGACCCGTTGTATACTTAGATGAGACCTATATACACAATACTTATCATACAAAAAGTTGTTGGCAGAGTGAAGAGGAGCCAGGAATGTTCGTCTCAGAGTCATCAGGGAGTCGCTGGATAATCGCTCATGCGGGAACAAAAGATGGATTCATAAATGGTGCATTATTAATGTTTAAATCCCAATCAAAGTCCTCAGATTACCACGATGACATGAACTCTGCAAATTTCTTATCACGGACACGAAGTATTAAGGTTGCCGCCTTACCATTGCGACCTAAACCCGGTGGAGAAAATCTGGAGCCTTGTAAAAAGAAAGGTGGCGGATAAGAATGTGGAACAAGATCCAAAAGAAATTATAAAATTAACTGTAGAGGCATTTGAGTCTATTACGGCGGAAAATTCGACAGCTCAGTGCACGCATGTCGAACATTTAGAGGAGGAATATTTAAAAAATTACGGCCTTATGGATGAAGAGATGGACCGAATAATTATATCTACGGCTCGTGATACTGAAACAGAATCTGATTCAGTTTCCAGCCACTCTTCAGACAGTGATGTTCCTATGGCCACTGATCACAATTATTCAATAAAACTCTGAATAAAAAATTGTAATGCTTTGCTTTACCCTATTTTCTCATCTTTTCCCTGTAAGTAGGTAGAACACCGCTTATAAAAGTAAATAAAAATATACTTTTTACATAACAGAAATATAGTAAATTATGTAAATGGACATTTTTATCAAAATTTATGTTTAAATAAACTTAAACTAGGAAATGTGACATCCCACGTTTCCCAGTACTGATCATGACCAAAAATCGTCGGCTTTTATTGCTTTGTTTTTAGTTTCTCACCTAAACACTGAAACTATTTAATAATAACACGACACTTACATAGTCATAATAACGTTAGTTAATTGGACTTATTGCATGAGTCATCCCATGAGTGGGTTGGTAGACATTTTGATAAAAATGCCCAAATATACATTTCACTTATCAGAAATATACATGTTTCACTAATCTGAACTATTGTTATAGTATTGGCTTGAGTAATGAAATTACAGCCTATCTAAAATGTATTTATTTCTTAATACAATTTAATAGTTTCGTCGAAGTCTGCAGGAAATAATATTATTTGATAAATTACATATGCTAAATGTAAAATAGGTAAATTATTTACTCATAAATGGCAACACTATGTCACGCGAGTACAGCGCTGCGTCTGGGGGACTTCTTTCATGAAAAGGACTTTACCGTTGCTCGATGGATTTGCCGTGTGCGCCGTTGAACACCAGATGTCGCTGTTGCGAAAAATCGATTTAAAAATCGATATTTTATGAGATTGCTTCATCCCGCCGGCAGAGCGCAGCACCACAGGAACGAACAATGAGTGACCTGTCGAATGATTTCACGAGCTAAATTGTTCACGTAACTGACGACGCATCGATCACTGCGATAACAAAATGGCGATCTTGAAACACGAAGCAGGAGTTTTAAAAACTCGAAGGACCAAAAATAATGTTAATGTTTGAACTAATTGATATGTGAGGGGTTCGGAATGGATATCCAAAGTCACTGGTTTTACAATTTAGCACGTTTATTGGACTTAATCACTTATTATTTAAATATTTGTATAGAGCACTTAGTCAACTGTCGATGCCTGGGCGGAAGAGAGATGAATGAATGAAAAGAACATATTTATTATGAGATGAATGAATGAATGAATAATAAACACTTTCCCTTGGTTCCTTTTTCGTTAACTTCGGTCGTATGCTTTTCTGAAGCTAGCTTTAGAGTGTCAGACGCGGGGATTAAATTATAGAGTATACTTTTATCACCCGTCCTATGTAACGTACAGCCACTGTCAAAGCACCATAAATTGCCTTTACATTTCGACGTTCCTGCTATTAAGCAGATGTTATATGTCTTTTCTTGACCTTTAGTTTTATTGGGGTTATTGGGTCTCTTCTTTGACCAAAAAGCTTCTGTGGAATGCCCTTTCTTATTGCAACCCTTGCAAAATTTTACCTTTTTCTTCGTCTTTGTGTAGAATGCTTCTGAAGTCTGAGGTTCACTCTCTTCGGTTTGCCTTCTTGCTTCGTATTCTTCTACGATTTTTATTTTTAAATTGTCATTGGCAGAACATCCCTCGACTCAACTGCCGTTCGGAAGCTATCGAAATTTGTTGGTAAACTGTACAACATCATTATGCTTAATAACTCTGGATGTATTTTGACATCCATGTCTTCTAATTTACCTACTACATCGAGAAAATTACTGAGATGGTCTCTCACATCTTCTTGTGGAGTCATTTTCTTTAATACTAATTGCTTTAATAGCGTAGCCTTTCTTGCCGGCCCTGAACTTTGATGTACAGACTTTAGTTTGTCCCATACCTCTTTGGATGTATTACATCCTTTAATTTGTTTGTTCTGGTGGAGATATAAGTAAAAGTAGCTCTGATCTTGCCTTTAAGTCTTCCTTTAAGAACGCACTCTTTTCTTCGGCAGTCGCAGTTGCCGCTAAAGTTTTTTCATCACTAGCGTATTCCCACAAATCGTATCTTATGAGAATCGCCTGTGCTTGGGTAAAAATTCCGAACAGTACGTCTCGTTTTTCAAGCTAGAAAATAATTTTAATCGATAGAGAAACGTTAATAATTAAATATTACATATATGAAAACCAAGGCAAACACTTACTTTTAAAAAAAAAAATATTTAAAACTTGTTATTTTCATTAATAGTCTGCCATTTTATTAATTTGACATCAAATGCATGAATACACACAGTGCTGCCACCATAAAAACATATGACAATACTGCCAACATGATATAGGAAGCGAGCAACATCATATAGTACATTATCAAACTCAATTTCAAAAGGAAATTTCAATTCAAAAAATTATTTTTATTAAAATACTCACGTTTTTACATCATTGGAGGGTAAAGTACGCCCACAGCTTTCCAAAAGTGGTAAAATCGCTCACCACATTTGGGGAAAATCGTACGAAAACGCGCCTCTGCCAAATAGTCGGTTATAGTTGTGGAAAAAAAAATTAAAACTTATTTTCACTAAATAAATCCGCCATTTTGTGTTTGACAACATTTACAAATTCACACACTTTTCAAAATTATAACCTTCGCATTATTAAAAAAGAATCTTTAAAAATACTAAAAGTACTGTTACACTAAAGTTTTCTGGGTGGTCATAAAAAAAAAAAACCTAACAACGAAGGCTAAGGCGGGAGCCAAGCGCCTTAACCTTGTAACCTAACCTAACCGAGTCGGGTCGCTCTGTCGGATGTGTGACTCATTTTGAATCTCACCTAATCCATTTTAATCTAGGTCGGAAAAGACTCCGTGATATATAAAAATGTGCTATCACAAACCTAATCAATCAGTAAAAAAAATTCCAAATTATAACCTTCGCATTAAAATAAAAAAAAATGTGTGCGTGTACTAGCGTACACTCCTAAGTGAAACTTTGTTATGACGTTATTTTTCAAAAAATAATTTACTATATGCAACTTTACAGAAATTGGTTAAATAAAAATAAATTAGATTAAGTTTAATAAAAGGCTTTTATTATCATAGACAAAATAAAAATTCTACAATTATTTCATTTTAGCTTTGTATAATATTTAGTTTCTTATTTGTAATACATAGGTGGCGTTAGTAGTAAATTAAAACACACTATGGTTTGACCGTTGTAATTAGTATGAGGGTCCGCAAAAATTGTTGATTAAAAAAACTTGCAACGTGAACCTTGTTTATTTCAATTAACCTCACGGACCCAAAATACAACCGCTTTGAATTTGTACATGGTCCTTCGTTGCCGAATAGTCAGCCATTCGACTCGCGCGCGAGTGTTGTGCGAAACCGAACTTGCGGACGTTGGATCGACGTCGCAACCGCAAGTTCCAGGAGCCGATCGAGGCTTCGAAGAGCATCATCGGTCAGCTTCAGATTGTGTCTTCGGTGGACGGCGCAGTCAGGTCACGGTGGGCGGTCCCTGCCTTTGGAGAAGAGGAAGTCTCTGCAGTGTCGTGCTCTGAAGTATTAGAGCTAGCACTGTCATTACTACAAATATTATTATTGAATTTCATTAATTGTAATAGAATTATTACTATCATTGATGTCGTTATTATATATTTGTGTTATTAATGGTTTATGGTAACTGAAATACGAAATATATTGTTTACATTTTAGAATTAGAATTAAAATAAACCCTTTGATTTTGCTGATCACTTTAATATAACATATATATTATATTGCTATGAACACAAAGTGGAACTAACGCTATCTAGCGTCAACTATTAAAACCACTAAAGAATAAAGACGACATAAAACCCCCTATTCAACACTAGATGGCGTTAGAGGAACATTTTAAGATAAAAAAAAGATGGCGCGTAACGGAAAAATGTTACACTAAATTTTTTTATACTAAAAGTACTGTTACAGTAAAGTTTTCTGGGTGGTCATAAAAATAAACCTAACAACTAACCTAACCTATCCGAGTCGGATCGCTCTGTGTGGGATCTGTGACTCATTTTGAACCTCACTAATCCATTAATAATCTAAGACTCCGTGATATATAAAAATGTGCAATCACAAACCTAATCAATCAGTAAAAATAAATGTTAAACCTAATGTAGTTTAGTTGACAATAATTTAAATTATAAAAAATTGTTATCGATAAAAAATTTTTTTAAAAAAAGTCCATAATATTTCAATATGAATAGCGTAGCGTTGTTGACTTTTTTGTTTGGTATTGTTATTCTGTTTGGTTTTGGCGCCTAATATTCGAGACAATTAAGTGTACATACACTAAGTCACAAACTTTAAATATTAGAAATTGTTAATAATACATGTTCATGAAGTAGAAACGTGTGTTTTTGTGATATATCTGTGTTGTGTCTTCTTATAACGTAAAAAGTGAAAACGTAAGTTTTTAACTTAAAATAATAGCCTATAATGAATAATGGACGCACAGTAATGACGGATTTCAGTTGTAATAAATTTAAAAACTTTATTGATTTTTCCCTCAGAATCTAGTGGTTTTCATTGATTATAACTTATATAATATTTAATTATTAACATTTCTCTATCGATTAAAATTTTTTTCTAGCTTGAAAAACGAGACGTACTATTCGGAATATTAGCCAAAATTATTATTTTCTCATTAACTTACTATTTTATATATGCTTCTTCCATTTGCCACTAGATATTCATGCAACCACGCTCTCTACCACTTATCAGTGGACTGGACTAGTGGGTGGACTAGCGGCTATAGCAATTACCTAATTAAAACGTAAATAATACTTGAAAAAACATTGTGTTTACTTGTATATGAGAAAATATAATGATACATAATGACACCGCACATCAAAAATAAAAAAGAACATAATCCAAATTCAAATGCAGTGCATCATAGACAATTATACGTGGACAGCATCACGACCTTCCAACAGTTTGGCATAGAAGTCAGCGGCCTTGTTATTGTTTTTAGCGGGATGGATTCCTCTGCCATATAAATAAGACATGCTTCATTATAGTACAAGTAGGTATTCATTATATACATCATTATATACATAGATAGGAAGTGACCCAACTACAGTTATAGACATAAAACCCCGGTGGTCTGAAAATCGACCCCGGTTTTAAACAAATCTCCAAAATGGTAAGGATGACAGGTTTAGCGCTTAATTAAGAATATGTGAGTGGTGAATGCTTCTACAATTCCCAAATGAAGAATTGGGGCCATTCTCAATAATAATTCATTTTTTTAAAGTTTTTTATAGTGCTAATCTCTGCAATTAAGATTGAACATTTTTTTTTTTGATTTTTTAATTTTTTCACATTTTTAATTCATTTTTTTTATTAATAAGCTTTCAATCAGTTGTCTAAGAAGGGATATTATTCATTAATAAATGAGAAAATGGATATCATGTTACGCTTACCGGAGGGATTTGGATATGACACATAGGAATATGTTTGAAAGGGGAAGAATTTCTTTGACACAGCTCACAAGTTGAATGAATTTGAGAAAAATCGGAACAACGGAAGCAACTTGGTTGACATCTACATTGAGATCCAATAAGTCTAAACAGCAGTATCTGCACTTAATCGTTGGCAATTGATAAAAATGGACAGGGTTAGAGAAGATTCGTAGCAGAATTCTCTTTCTGGAAGGATTTGGCTCTAAAGTGTTAGTACTACAGAGGTGAATGGGACCCAAGTAACCTGAACATTAAGCTTCTGCTTGGAGTTTGATATTCATGCAATTACGCTACTCTGAACGTTTTTACAGTTTGTGGGAATCTTAAAATTTTCTTCCAACTCTTCCAGAGTCTAGTTGTAGTACTTTTACTATTTCCACGTGGGAAACATCGAACCTATAAATTGAAGTAGAATTATTAAAACTGAGTATTCGAAATAAAATTGTAAGTTTGTATATATGTTTTAAATTCAATTAACATTATGATTCTCCCCAATGCCAACTTTTGCAATATTCAAAAATTTTTATATGTGCATTAACTAGGCGAATTTAAGAAGCCGAAATGACGGGTTAGAAAACCCACCTGGGGCACTTTTTATGAAGAGAACAATAAATGTATATGTATTTTTATAACTTATGTTACGCTTCTTCGCAGTCCTTAGACTATTAAAGCTTTATCGAACGCAGAACCGGTGGGCTAGCCAGAACCCACGGGTTTGAGGCCCTGTTCAGTGGGTAGGGCCGCGCATGTACTCATGCGTGCTTTAATTAAGGAACAATAAATGAAGCTATATCTATGCAAGTTTTGAGTCATTTTCGTAAACTTTTTCCGAGTACATCAATTAATAGGAGGCCGAAAGTGCGACTGTTTTTTTCTTCAAGAAATTCAATATTCTTGACCGGACGTTTACGATGTTCACTTGTTACGAATTGATGGTTAGGAGAAGAATATTGGAAATTATGGTGGAATCTCCACTAACATTTCGATGGCTCCTATGTAAATGAGCGAAACGGCCGCTTACGCCTTTTTCCGAATATTAGCGCAATAAATTTACTTTGCCCTATGAAAACAAAAAAACTTTTTCTTGCTAAATCTACGGTAGTCCATGTACGGTAAACGGTGTAGAGTAATCGCGTCGGAGAGGTGGCGAAATGGCGGAGATACCGCTTCAGTTGTTTTACTCAGTATTTGGCGATTGTCTTTTGTAATAGCTGTGCTCGTGCGTTTTTTGCGAAAATTAATTTATAACTTAGCTGGTTTAAACGAAAATGATACCAAAAAGATGTGCAATTTACAAAAGCCCTAAAAATTATAAATATTATAAATAAACACAACAGCACTGATTTAAGCATCGAAGACGAGCCTCGTAACCAAAGTAAGGACACCGAGGTCCAGGTAACCCATAGTTATATATTTACTTTTTAATAAATATAACATTATATTAGTGAGTCTAAAATTTTATTACATTGTTACCAAATTTATCTTTATAACTATTAATTTACTGAAAACCTCGTATAGAGGTGTAAAATACCATCTGACTTTTTACGTAGTTCGGTTTTCATTATATCATATGCGCCTTTTTTTAAATCATTATTTTTTTTGTAACTTATGAAAAATATTTTACAAATTTCATATTTACGAATATTACTATGTATCTGGCTTACTAAGATAACTCCCTCATTACTTAGGTATTACTATTGAATTAATAACATATTGTAGTATAAAAACATAAACTAATACTGATTCTCGTATATGGGCGGAAGATCACAAAAGATATTTAAGTAAGGATATCTAACTCATCACAAATATACTCACCTAAACTAAAAGATCTACCTTCACACAATATACACATATAATATTCACATAATCACAGAACTAAAATTTTGGTATATAACGGAAAAAGGATAAAATTAATTTCAAAAACGACAATAAAAACAATCAAGACCATTTTTTTTAACATTGGCGGAATGTTTAAAAGCTGTTGCCTTCACGTGTTTCTTGTCAAATTTCAAATTCGAAATTCTGAAAAGGTTATAAAATATGATCTATGAATTATTTTATTTAAAAAATAACTATTTAAATTAATTAATGGTTTATTATAAATAAATGCATGAAGAACTCTGAATAAATGACTATAAAAAATGAAGGCTCTTATACAGCGTGTTCAAAATGCCAAAGTTACCGGTAAGCTTCAAGAATATTATCCATTTAGATACAATACTTACAATAGTAAAGAAACTTATTTTAAGATAAATTTTAGTAAATGGTGAGGTGATAAGCAGCATAGAGCAAGGAGCATGCATATTAATAGGGATATGTAGCAGTGACACTATAAAAGATATGGAGTACATGTAAGTATATAATTATATTGTTATCGAAATAATGAAGGCTATAATATATATCATTATATTCTTTGGTGATATTATCAATTTCTTATATAATTTTATTCATAAATCCACCTGTTTGTATTTTACAGTGTAAGGAAGATATTAAGTATAAGAATTTTTGATGGTGAAAATAACAAAAAATGGCAAAAAAATGTTATAGACAAGCAGCTGGAAATTCTATGTGTTAGTCAATTTACCCTTTACAATACATGGAAGGTTGGTTTGTATTTTGTGAATGTTTTTATTATATTAAAATTAATACTTTGCTTTTATCTTACTTAGTGGCACTTTTTATTTGGGTTAAGCAACCCAATCAATTTAATTACCAAAGAAATATTAAATAAACTTTAATTACTTCTTTCAGGGAAATAAGCCAGATTTCCACAAGGCAATGGCAGCAGATAGATCCAAAGAGTTCTATGAACAATTCATACAAAAGCTAAGAGATAAATATAAACCAGATAAAGTAAAAGGTATTATATGATCTTCATGTTTAATATCAAAAGGTTGTTTAGTGTATTTGTTAAGCTATTGATAGCAGATCAAAGTCTAAATCTGAATGTATGTGAATGTAAACTTGTATCGTAAAAATTGTATCTAACACAATGTAAAAAAATAAAAAAAGAATCTTTGCATACACTTGTGCTTTAAAGATATGTTGAAATATACTTTTATTCATGTGATATTATAATACTTGTGATTGCTCTGTATTACTCCATGGAGCTTAGAACATAAGCAGAGATGGTTATAATAGGTTATTATTTGTAAACAATTGTTTAAGTTACAAAATTTTGTTTTGCTACTTACATAGTAATAATAATTATTTAACTATATATCTATAAGATGTTTAAAAATCAAACATTTGTTTTAATTTAAACATTAATTATAAGCAATTTTATTCATCTTCATTGCAGATGGTCTTTTTGGTGCATACATGCAAGTCTCTATACAGAATGACGGGCCTGTTACTTTTGAGATAGAATCTCCTAGTCATAATAAGGATAATGTATGCAAAACTCCAGACAAGGAAACAGAGATTCATGAGTCTTCTAATGGTGGTACAATAATATAATTAGTGTACTTATTGTTTTGTTATAAATATAATAAAAGAATACTTAAATAGTATACAAATTAAGTGTATGTTACAAAATGATTTAATATATGACAGTGAATGGTTTTGAAGAAATATAAATGCAATTTTCTCGTGCCATTTTGTGTAATATTTTTTTAAAATTATAAGTTGTTTATGAAAATGGAAAAATCATTTTAGATCAAAATTTAAATAAGAAATCTGAAATTCACTACCGATAACTTTAGATAAGCTTCAATTTCTTGAATGGAAATTATTTTAGAAATATGCTACTTGTATTATCTGCTATTTAGTGCTGCCACAACAAATGTAAATGTGGCTGCTGCATTTTAGAATATAAAGGATGATAAGGATAACATAAACAATGATTTTGTTTGAACTAGATTTTATACTGTAAAATGCTTCACGTGGTACCATACATTGAACAGTTGTTTGCTAGGCATTCGGCTTTTCGAGGTCATTGTAGGCGAGCGAGACGCAGTTAGGTCTAATATCTGTGGACTCTGCTTTCATATTTCCAAAACTGTCCTAATGGGCGCGACTCCTCAGTCTTTCAGTGTTCCGATAACCGATCTTACCGAGTTGGAGACAGCTGAATTAAGTCCAGCTCGATTCCGATATTGGTCAAAGGCCCTTTTGACTGTCTTTTTCTCTCGAATTAACAGCCGGAGTCCGAACGGAAAAGTAAAGCGTCAATCGCCCGTCACTAAATAATAAGGAATGGTATATCCGGCTGGCGTTAGTCTTTCCGCCCGATTACAAAGTAGGCGTCTTAAATGCAATAGTGAATAGGTTTTACTCAGCTAATTCGCTTACCATTAACGGCTGCATAGCCACTTACCATCAGGTGGGATGGCAGTCGAGTGCTGGCCAGTTTTAAATTAAAAACAAAATAATAAAATGATCGTCCGATACGTTTTCGGCGTGCGAAGAGATGGTCGGTCGGACGCTTGCAGATATTGTCGTCTGACTTACGTCATCGAGCGTATATCGGGTAGGTTTAGAATATGTCTGGAGCAAGGCCTGGAATTTGAAATTGACAACAGCTTTGGTTGGACCTCACCAACTCTTGTGACCCACCATAGGCAGTATCGGCTTATTATCTGACTCGTCTAATCCTTACTCGCTTATTACTAATATCATAAACGTGAGTTTGTCTGTATGGATGGATGTTTGTTACTCTTTTACGCAAAAACTACTGAATAGATTTTAATGAAACTTTACAATAATTTAGCTTAAACATCAGAATAACACAGGCTATAATTTATAGAGATTGTGTGAATTATATATAGGACATACAGGTTAAAAGTAAGTAATATGTAAGTGTCAACTAAGTAGGAAAAAATTCAGCCATTTGCGAAATGTTCTGGTGTATAATAAAAAACTCATTGTTAACTCCCTTTGGCCGAGAAAGCGAAGCCGCAGTTAACAGCTAGTCTAATATAGTTCTAGGTCTAATATATAGGTCGGTTTCTATCGTCTCCGAGTCAACCTTGTTGTTTTTCCTTGTCTCAGTACTTTGTTGGGGTTATGAATCACATTTCAGGAAAATTTTTGTTCAACGAGAGATAAATAAAAAATATTACGAAAGGCGTAATTCTATTAAAACATTTAATTTATTATCATAAGTTAAATTATTATTATGCCACAAGTGGTACAAGGTTATAAGAAAGTATTACGTTGTAATCAAATAACAATTGTAATCCTAAATAAGAATTTTAAATTAAAAACGGGTAAAGATTGTAGTTAGATTTTTTATTGGCCGTTTTACCTATTCAATTTTGTTAGGTACTTAAATATTCATCTTTAATGTGTTTCGTCAAATAACTTCTTCCCTTGTTTGTACTAATATTATTTACAGGACAAATTATTTAAAATATCAACAAATCTAACTAAATGACCCAATCTAGCAAACCTAGTCCACGTGGCATGGTGCACAAGAACGCCAGGGTCTTCGCTGAATCGCTGTGCTACCTTTGAGCGAGAAAAGAACCGTTCCACTTGTCAACTATAAAAGTTTAATTCATAGTTCCTTATTCAATCGATTTTACATTTTTTCCGCTGAATGGTTATTTGGCTGAATGGCTTAACCTTTGAGCGTTGAATAACGAAGAAAATTTGATGTGCACGGCACCCCATGGGCATAAGTTTCTATAGTAAATGGCACAAATACATAATCTGAACATAAAGACTCATATTAGCGCCATTTAGTTCAGCTGCCTCCGATGCCGCCCCGGCCTTGACCGAAGTACCCCTTATATGGGAGGCAGCCAGTGTCTACACAAGTAGCGTCCCAAAAAAGGACTTTGTCTCTCTTCCAAGGGATCAGAGTTAGACTGTCGGGTCTCTTACCATCGTCGCAAAAAATGCCACAGGGCTCTAAAATAGATGAAAAAAAAGAACAAGTTTTAGATATTCTATTCAGCCAGTAAAATGACGTGGACACGATGACATCCTTTTTATTTTTAATACGAAAATATTTTACATTGAATGGGTTTATGTTTATGGGTGACGAATAAAAAAACACCAGTTAATAAAAAAACTTTATTTTGAAATAATGGTTATTATCTATTAACAGTTGTTAAAATTAGGCCAGTGATTACGAAACACTATGTTAGAACATTACAGTGGCCTACGCTAACGATTATTGTTATACAAAGAATTTTCATATAAACCCTACGCTATGGTCCTTTAGATCCGTTAACAGATAATCGACCAAGAATTCAAACCATTACACTTTACAATTAATCCTACACGAGTAGAAAGTAAAATAAAAAAAGTCCTAAACAGACAAAATAAATGCAATCTAATAAACGCTCTATTTAAATATTACGATATAGATATTCAACAAACGAGATTTAAAAGGAAATATGTCATAAATAGTGTCGAATATTATTTGTTAATTGAATGTCATCAATTAGCCGAGAGTGCCGCATGATTACTATTTCTATACGGTGTTATATAGACATATAATCACATGTTTACGTTTACACAAATGTCTACTCGATTCGCGCGGTGAATTCTCATAGAACTCCCATCTGATCTGTCACACCTCTCAAGGCACTGTTCGTTTTGGTATAATGCTGATAAGTATCCCCACTCCCTTCTCGCAGTATCATTGCGTAAACATGTTCAAAGTGTGCAAGATTACAATAGTCCTTATAGTTAGTCTGACGGGTGCGTCGTGCGCGTCGACAGCACTTCTGTGCGTTTTCAACGCGCGCGTAAGGTAAGTTTACACTAGCTTAGTAATTTATGCCCGATCCCGTCTCTCGCACTAAAACATTATTTTATAATTGGTGAAAACGCCCGTGCAATTAGATAGAAGCCCTTTATAAGTAACGATCCAATTTGCTTAGCGTTCGGCAGTAACAGAACTAAGCGTGTGTAAATTCACCACAAAGCGCTGCCTTCGCACCAGACGGCACCCCGCTACGACGCCTCCATAGTTCCGTTATAAACTATCGAAATATGTACTATTACAAAAATATCTATGACCTATTATAAAATAGCTAAATCATACAAGTGAAATGTTACTGGGGACAGGCTAATGATAGTAAAGATATACCTTTACGGGTCGCGATGCGCCCGTCGCGACGGACGCCGATGCTGAATAGACAGGACTGTGGAATATGCGAGAATGTTAGCCGGGCAGTAGTACATCGATATGTGGTTAATACAGTACAGTATACGGGTGGTGTTGTCGGCCGAAGGCAGTGTACGGTCTACCAGAGTCCGGACGAGTAGCCGCCGGGCGGTACGCGGCTGTGGGTGAGGTTGCTGCCGCCGTTGATCGACGTCACCGTGTTGATTTGGCCGTTCAGCGACTTGTAGCCGTCACCGGTGATCGGGTTGCCCTCTGGAAGCATCGGAGGCGCGTTGAAAACGACAGAGCGCGGGCAAGCAGCGCCAAATGGGCGGCGTTGTAGCTACGCTTTTGAACGCCTAGGGCAAGAATTGAAGTTTGCGACTTATTGTGTTTAAGCGCGAAATTTAATTCTAGCCTGGACGCGTAGAAAACGACAGAGCGCGGGCCAATGGCGCTCAATTGGAGACGTATTAGCTAATATAGGCGACTAAAGAGCTACTTATTCGTAAAGGAGCAACTAAGTGTAATTTAAACTAAACTGTACGGTGGTACATGTTGAAGATAATTGCGTAAGTCAAAATCTTCAATTTTATTATCTTTTGAATTTCAGTTTTATCACTTTCTAACTATGAAGTAATTAGAATGTGAATATAAATTGAACGTCTCCTTTTCAGTCTTTTCCGAGTTTAATTTGTCAATCGTATTTGGAATACAATATTGTTAACGGTTGACATTGTACCTCAGCATATCTCGTCGTCCCTAGCCACAATGCCGCCAATTGTTATGCTAAATGATCGATATGTTGTTAGGATAATTTCAAACTGACGTGGAAACTATATTTCTTGCAATAATGATCATACGATCTCAAAAGAAAATGACAAATTAGGTATATCTATGGCATACTTAGATCGTTTTTAAAGAAATTAATTTCTAAAATAAGTCATGCAAATATCTAGAGCATACCGAGCAATATTACATTAATAAGTATACACTTAATCTGCAATTAAATATAACGTAAAGATTATACCTTAAAACTAATAATGCTGATGCCAAACAAACTACTTAAAAAGGCAAGAACCAAGAAGAGAACAGAACAAAGTCAAAAGAAAAGAACGTGCTGAGAAGAAGGAGCCATTATAAAATAGGTTTACATCGATCTTATAATAAACGTCATTTTTACTATGCAACAACAACAAAAAACATATTTTAAGACAACAAAATAAAATTCAACAATTACATACAACAATTATACAATAACAAGTCATAAAGCTATATAAATTACAAATAGAACTATGGTTTCTTTCCTAATTTACTCTAAGTTTTAAAAGAAGCTAATACAAAATTGTATGGGTGGTTAACTTAGCGACTAGAAGGAATCGTCATGGCGTTCTTTAAAAAAAGCAAACAAAAAACATTTCTATTTCAACTGATTGTAAATTTGCAAGCTTCCTCATAGATTTACCAAATTCTCTAATTTATTATTTGTACAAGTATTAATAGCGGTGCGAGATCGTGTCATTCCTTCGGTCAAAATTAAACACCCACCCAATTCTCTTTGGCGAACATAGTCTACATAGTACGTCTTAGGTTTGATGTCTTCTGCATGCCGACTTAGGTTAAACAGGTATCCGGGCACGTACTTGGGAAATATGGGAGGGAAACCGGTCAGCGTGAATGGGCCTGGAGCTTTGGGTGTGTCCAGAAGGGAGCAGTCGGGAATGGGGCCGTCCCTTTCGTACCTAAAGAGGCTTATTGGTGGGTTTGTATTTGCGACGATGAACGGATCCACCGGTCCGTCCAAAGTCGCTATCGGATTGCGATTGTAGTCGGGCTGGGGTCTTTCGCCTAGGGCTGACGTCATGCCGACGAAAGCGTACGGCGGCAAGGGATGGTGCGGCACGTGACGCCGCTCCCGTTCGAGATAATGCCTTGCCGGGAAAGGTGGCCAGGGTCTGTCGAGTACGGGCTGAGGGGACAGAGAGTCGGGGTCTATTATCGGATGTGATCTCTCCGGGTCGTCGGTTTCCAGGCCAAGTAGGACGCGAGGGCACTGGTGGCACACGGGCCTGGGTATCTCCGTCGACTCGACATAATACACTCCGGGCGGGGGCGGCCAGTGCCGCGTGAAATAGTGATGGGAGGGCCGGGGTTCTAGGAGGTCAGGGTCTTGAGGGTTGTATTCGTCGGCACCTCGCTGGCTGGCGGCGGGGTGGCGACGGCGCAGCGGCGGCACAGCGATCCCGTCACCGGTCACCGGGTTCCTCCTCGGTGGCGTGTACGACGCTGACCATTCACAGAATAAACGATTTTTTCATTCGTACCGCTAGGCATCGAACAGGATCGATGTTTTCTGTTCACAATACGAGTTCAGTGTCGTAGCTATGGCCATGAGCCCTAAGGGAAGTATCCGGACTGCCCCCAAACAGCCGTACCAGCTCGCAGATTGCGGCAATACGAGTGCATCTTGAAGTTTGCTCCCTTAACTGCCCCTAGCTACAACTCTGAAAACGTTCTTGATTTTATTGAAGCGTTTCTTTTTATTCTTCTTTTCATAGATACTTTACATAAAACATTGATCCCATCCGCTTACAATATTTCCACTTACAATATCGTGTACGCTTTCTATATTGTAGTTAGTTTTATCACGTGCTGCAATCACATTCCTTATTGTTGTTAGTTCAAAATCTTAACATGTGTCCATGCTTATGTATAAGCTGGTTTACTTTTCAAGTTTCTGTGTGCATGGTCAGCAAGTAATGCTGATTCAGATCAAGATACGTATATGTTGTTTTATAGAATAGAGCATCGGAGCGTAAATCAGTAAGATAAGAAGCATTTCCTAGCGTGCATGAGTGCCAAATAACATGTGTTTGGGCACGCGAGCTTCTAGCACCACTATACCGTGTACGGAACTCTTGACATTTTATTACTCATCAAACGACATAAATTCAGAGTTCTGTTCACAGTTTTAAATGTTCGAAAGTGGAACGGAATCGCATGATTTTCTTTGATACCTCCCGATACAGTTGACCAAAATAGTTCCAAATACCATTCTAAACTTTCTCGACTTGGTACAGTCGTCGAAAAAAGTAGCTAGACCCGAAAGCTGTCAATATCCGTTGCTTTAGGCGTCTCTTTAGACCAGTATTAGGGTAATTCCAATTGTAAACAAAGATTTGAACAGCCAACTCCGTTGCAAACGTTCGATCGAACATTTGAACAAACATGCGACCGCATCGCCAACCCGCTCCACGTTCGAACCCGTACGATACGCAAGAATGGAGCCAGTATCCCAGTGTCACTACACGTGCTCGGTCGTGCCTACATCTGGATGGACTCACAATGCTCGGCGGGGCCCGTCTCACCTCGGCTGGGCGTGGACGTCGCGCTGCCGTTCACCATCTTGGACGGCGAGTGGGACGGGCTGCCGTTCACCTCCGCGTCGCCGAACTGGATGTGGCTGCGGATGGTGTCCGTCACCATCGGCGACACGGACGTAGCGGTGGCCTGAAAGTACAGTAAACGGCCCACGCTACAGCCAAACAGTTTCGTGTTGCAACGAGCGACGAAAAAAACTAATGTTTCTTATTTCTCTTTCTGCCTATGAGCTAATAATTAAAGTCAGCTGTATATTATGCTGTGTTAATGTTTACATAAACATTTCTGAGATGGACAGCAACACTTAGATCCAAATCTTTGGCGGGTCACACAAATAGACTCCCACTCCTCGTGAATTCCCACTCAGGATGACCTGAGTGGGAATTCACGAGGAGTGGGAGTCGATACGCTTAGTAACTGCGCCAACCGAGTCATAAATCTGAGTTTTCGTAATCAGTTAATCAATTGAAATTTCAGTATTTTGAAACCTTTCAATTTCATGAACAACCTTGATATTTCTTTTTACCCGTCGATTTTAACTATTTGGGTGTAATTTCGTTACCAAATCTGTTAGATTAATTTGGATAAATAAAAATGCAAAATAAAAAAATGTTGCGTGGCCATACCACTTAAAACAGCCTGGAGCGTTCAATTAATTTCCACAGTGTGTTATAATCAGTGCGGTTGATGATGAACGTTCGTAACACACCTGTCCGAAGAGTCTGGAGTGGGTGTCGCGCGGGCGGGTGGGTGTGTCGCGGACCACGCGGGGCCTGGCGGTGCCGTTCTTCACGGGGCTACCGTCGGGCGAGTCGGAGCTGAAGATCTCGGCGATGCAGCTCTTCGGGGCGTTGGGGACTCTGGAACGGGCAGAAATATCTTGTTAATACTTATCGCTTGGTCGATACGGAGAACTGTGGTAGGGCCACGCAACAGTTTAGGCGGTTGCATGAATGCGCGGCGCCGTCCTGGTGAGTACCAACGACGTCTCAGGTGTGAAGTGGAAGTGTTATACTCCTGCGTTTCGTTTGGTGAGTGAGGTAGCTGGGGGTGGGTGGGTGCCTTTGTTGGGTGGTGCAAATGTTCATAGGCAGTGGTTATCACTTAATATCAGGTGAATGGTTAACAGTTATCCTATGATAATATACGAGTAGGATTCGGTTTAAATCAGGATTTGTGTTTTTCTACATCGAAGTTATGTATCCACATAGTTGGTATTCTCTAAAGCACAGGACAGTCTCATCTCATACAGTGGATGTGATGTTTTAAATTATCTCGTAAAAATTCAATGATATTGGATGTGTAATTATTTTGTAACTCAACTTTTTTTTGTATAACTGCTGTTACGCTTTCAGTCCTTAGACTGTTAAAGCTTCATCTAACGCAGAACTCAACTTAATCACTGTTATGACGACCTTTAGCAATTGTTTATTTTAAAATTACCATGATGTGATATAAAGAAAATAGGACTTGCGTTCACTTGATTTCGAAAAAAATATAACAACGCACGCAACGAGTAACGAAATTTTAAGCTTTGTTGGAGCTTTTAAAAGGCATAAAGCGTTAGTCGGAAAACACTAACAACACTCGTACTGTAACACGACCATCATATGCATCGTTACGGCTTCGTTCGACATTCGATACGGCAAAACATTGAAGCTCATGATTGGAAAAGTCAACAATGTCCATGTCCCCTTCCGTTGAGCGACAGACGGACGTTACCTGCGCACGGGCGGGGCCCACACTTCCGCTGGGGGAAGGGTCAGCAAATGCCGCGAATCGATACACAAATTCAAAACACCATAAAACATAACGAGCATAGAGTCGCTGCGGCGGTCAACGAACCCCCCGTCTATGGACATTTTATCCCCAGCATAATGCGCAATCGACGATATGACGCTTACGTGTTAGGTACTGACCAAGGAATGATTTTGCTAACCTAACTTACTACTTCAGATTTTTTCAAAAAATGCAAACGGTATGATAAAATACATAAACTTTTAACACTACATTTTCGTCGAACCATACGGCAAATCTATGGCTGCTATATTTTCTTGTTATGAACAATGGATAATAGAATGGAAAAAAAGACGTACGTATTTATGTTGTGAGAGAGCCGTGATAGTTCAGTGTCCGGGCGCTCGCCTTTAATTCAATATACTCGAGCAACCTGAGTTCGATCCCCAGTGCCGGCACCAATGAAGTTTTTAACTTTAAGTGCTGACCTATCACGTACTCCGCGGTGAAGGAAAACATCGTGAGGAAACCTGCATATTTTCGAAATAATAACAAAAAAAATATTTCGAAGATATGTCCGCCAATCCGCAGTGGGGCCGCTTGGTGGACTATGCCCTGATACCCTCTATATAGAGGAGGCCTTTGCCCAGCAGTGGGACATGTGTATGCTGTTATTGCCCAACAGTGGGACATGCATTATTTATATTGTAAAAACCAAATAAAAATAAAACAATTTCTTATCATAGACTTGTTGCTGTAATAAACATAATTTATATACAAAATTAACATGCAGTAATGCAAATCTCAAACGTCGGGCTTATCGTTGAATTATACAAGACGGGCGTCAGAATCGAGTCGGCGATGTACAACCTATTAAAACTGCCCCCGACGTGGGAAAGTCCTTAAAGCAATCTGTTAATCCCGCCGATAGGGATTACTGGCGCCTTGTAAATCTAACAAGCCGTACACGGCGCTAGCGTGGCGTCGTGTTTTTGAATAGCAAATATGTTTGTTTGATTAGCGAGAAATGTTATCGCAAGCATCTACCTACTAGTCGGCTGGCGCCACTGGGGTCTCCGCTGGAGACCGATGCGCTTGCGAACGCTCTGTAGATTTGCAAGAGCGATAAATTCGAGATAAAGTCAGACCGTAACAAATTTACGAGTGCTGGCAATTAATTATTATTTTGAACGCGTTAATCCATTCATGTTCATAAATACTGTTGCCCGATTACAAATAAGTCTTGTCAGAGATTTCAAAATTGAAGCTATAATGAAGTTGGGTGATGAGAAAAGTAAGTTTTTGAATCAGTTATTAGTTTTTAAAGTTTTTTATAGTGCTAATCTCTGCACTTAAGATTGAACATTAAAACATGTAGAAAAAGTACGAAAAGATTGTCGCCGCTGTGGGAATCGAACCCACGTCTTCGGCATTCGCGGCCTGACGCTCTAGCCACTGAGCTAAACGGATGATAGCCACAGCGACGAAAACCTTAACGCCCTCCTTCTACATTGTTATTTAGCATTTGAAGCAGATGCTTGGCGCATCTATTGTTATATCCTTTCCAGCATACAAACAATTTCGAATATCGTTTTACAACGATAATTCGAACGAGAGATGTCGCCATTGCTTTTTATAAATTTTTAAGTTTTTTATAGTGCTAATCTCTGCACTTAAGATTGAACATTAAAACATGTAGAAAAAGTACGAAAAGATTGTCGCCGCTGTGGGAATCGAACCCACGTCTTCGGCATTCGCGGCCTGACGCTCTAGCCACTGAGCTAAACGGCTGATAGCCACAGCGACGAAAACCTTAACGCCCTCCTTCTACATTGTTATTTAGCATTTGAAGCAATGCTTGGCGCATCTATTGTTATATCCTTTCCAGCATACAACCAATTTCGAATATCGTTTTACAACGATAATTCGAACGAGAGATGTCGCCATTGCTTTTTATAAATTTTAAAGTTTTTTATAGTGTTAATCTCTGCACTTAAGATTGAACATTAAAACATGTAGAAAAAGTACGAAAAGATTGTCGCCGCTGTGGGAATCGAACCCACGTCTTCGGCATTCGCGGCCTGACGCTCTAGCCACTGAGCTAAACAGCTGATAGCCACAGCGACGAAAACAAAAATTTATAAAAAGCAATGGCGACATCTCACGTTCGAATTATCGTTGTAAAACGATATTCGAAATTGTTTGTATGCTGGAAAAGATATAACAATAGATGCGCCAAGCATTGCTTCAAATGCTAAATAACAATGTAGAAGGAGGGCGTTAAGGTTTTCGTCGTTGTGGCTATCAGCCGTTTAGCTCAGTGGCTAGAGCGTCAGGCCGCGAATGCCGAAGACGTGGGTTCGATTCCCACAGCGGCGACAATCTTTTCGTACTTTTTCTACATGTTTTACAGTCATTAGTTTGTACACAGGACGCCCCTTATATTTACCAGTTAATCTTTATAGCCGGTACTGCTAACATAATAATATACTATTATTGTGGAGGATCTTATACTATAATGTAGGTATTCAATGCAGCCTAGATAATTTCTATGGACAATGCACAAACAAACGGGCGGTGCGACAAGATCAACACTTGACAGTCCGCAACGCAGATAGGCTCGCTGAATCGATATAGCAGCACTGCGGCTTACAGCCTGCCTTTGTTCGCTCCTCGCAGTTACTGCTAACTAAACACGGGTCGAAATTTGCGAAATAGGCTGTTTTCCTTTGAACTGTATGAATTAACTTTAGTATTATATGAATTACGAATTTTTCTAAAAATATGGATTAACTACGCGGTTACTGTCTCCATATCTACATAAAATCTATTGTTGAATTAGTAATAAGGAAGTATGAAAAAGCAATATGACAACTATTTAAAAGCGTGCAAACGCATCGAATCTGGGACTGACAATGTAGGTACAACCATTAGGGGCGAATAACACTTGAGATAAACAGCAATAGCTAATTTTAAAATTTACTAAGCTTTTTATGAAATTAAAAAAAATGTACAATTATAATCCATCCAACCATTTATTCAGCTAGAGTAGTGATGTCCCAATTGCATTACAGATTTTATTTTTGGAAAAAAAATACGACTTTATTTATAAAGACGTTTAAAAAAACTATCGTCGCGTCACTATTATAAAAAAACAGTGTCTAAGAGGATTGCTATTTTCTCATTTTGGTTTATCAAATATGTGCATCTGTTAAACGCTCCAGCGATTCAAAAAAGTTATATTTTTTATTTGTTTCCCGTTTATACATGAAATTGTATTTACAGTTTTTATGAAAAATTTTGGTAGGAAAACAGGCAACTTTCATTCTTTCTTTCAATGAAGCTTGATGCACTAGGTATTCTCGCAAAAAAAACGCTATTCATTAGCTAAGTGTATAAATAAAGTGATTTGTAATTTGATTAAGTCAAACTACATAAGTCATCACGCGAAACCCATGAATATTAATAAAGGCGGTCCATTAGTAGTGCAACTGTAAAGTGCATAATAAAGATTGACAGAAAAACCGTGTAATTCGTTTGGTAAAGCTAAAGCTAGACAGAAGGTATTTTTTTGCAGCAGCTTTTTTTTATACAGCAAAGAATGCCGTGTCGGTATTATTTATTTCAAGACCGATGTAAAAGATATCCCAAATAAATGTGCAAAAATTTTGATATTTCAAGCCAGTGACAAAATAGATGAATGAATCCACAATAAATTTCTTAAAAGTTATCGTTACGGACCGCTTTCCATTAGCGTCTTATGATTTGTATAAGACATGCGCACATTACACGAGAGCTTCCTTCTGTTGTTGACATTATACGCCTACGAACAAAGAGATTCACCTCTTCTTTTGTAATACGTACAGCATAGGAGCAGAACAGTTTGACAGCGTCAGTTTTTCCGTCCGACTACAATGTGAGTGCCTTCAAGAGTGAACAGCCTATTGCTGAGCTATTGCGATACCATCGGGTGAGATAACTTATTAATTTGGTAACTTACGAACATATTAATTTTCTTGTAAAATTTCGACGTTTCATAAGAACGCGCAAGCGTCTATGTGAATAGAGATATTTTATTATTATTTGTTGGGGATATTTATTTATTTTCTCATCTGGTTGGATTTATGGATAAACATATAGATATATAAAATAAATATTATGAATAAAAATAAACATATAGATATAAATAGTATTGTATAAAATATATATAATTGTATATAGTACATATACAAATATTATTATTATAGCAGGAAAGCACTGGGCGGTTTTTTGGTAAAAAAAGCTTCACAGTGACTGCACTATAAAGACAAGAGCTTTTAGCGCGAGTTAAACATATACGTTATTCCCTTTTTATTTAAAGTGAATCATGTTCAACGGCAATCCGAGCCGGTGTACGTGCCAACGGGGTCAACGAGGGTTAGCAAGCACGCTAGCCTAGAAAAAGCCTATTCACTCTACGAGGGTCTCGTGTTGAAGTCATTCTTGTGTTGGTCTTTTTGGAGGGAATTACAGCGACGATGTGAAATTCGTCAACGTTATGTCCTCGAGGGCTGTTGCAGTGGAGGTCTTGCGACAAAATTAACATTTGCTTCTTTGAATTTATTTAAGTGCTACTCGTAGCCCGAGGTGATGCTATGTAGATTTAGAATTTAAAATATATATCAAGCCTACTTACAAGTTCTTAATCGTTTCTAGATTTAACATTCTCTTTTCGTTTATAAAAACTTATACGATGCGAGACGTCTGTCAATTGGGATATAGTATATTATTATCATTCTCTTAATGGTTTGTGTACTAGGATCAATACTAATCGATATCTGTTACTTTAAAAAACAATCCATCATTATCGTTAATTAAGAAACACCACTCACGTCAACAACACTTACAAACTTTAGACAAAACAATAAGTGCGGAAAGTGATTATAGAATCTATAAATATAGGCACCGGCGAAGTCCGAAAAAAGCTCAATAAATTACACAAAATTATGTTCACAAAATAAACAAACTATCATTCACACTATATAACATTTCTATTACTTTTATTATTCTCACGAAAAATAGCGTAGATGGAACACGCATCCGTCAGTACATACTTTGGTCGAACCGAGCCAAAGTGAATTGCGGG